CCCTCTTCCTTTCCTCCCTCCTTCCCTTCCTCCCTCCCTCCTTCCCTTCCTCCCTCCCTCCTTCCCTTCCTCCTCTCCTCCTTCCCTTCCTCCCTCCCTCCCTCCTTCCCTTCCTCCTCCCTCCTTCCCTTCCTCCCTCCTTCCCTCCCTCCCTCCCTCCCTCCTTCCCTTCCTCCCTCCTTCCCTTCCTCCCTCCTTCCCTTCCTCCCTCCTTCCCTTCCTCCCTCCCTCCTTCCCTTCATCCCTCCTTCCCTTCCTCCCTCCTTCCCTTCCTCCCTCCCTCCTTCCCTTCATCCCTCCTTCCCTTCCTCCCTCCCTCCTTCCCTTCCTCCCTCCTTCCCTTCCTCCCTCCTCCTTCCCTTCCTCCCTCCTTCCCTTCCTCCCTTCCTTTCTCCCTTCCTTCCTCCTTCCCTTCCTCCCTCCTTCCCTTCTTCCTCCCTCCTTCCCTTCCTCCCTCCTTCCCTTCCTCCCTCCTTCCCTTCCTCCCTCCTTCCCTTCCTCCCTCCCTCCTTCCCTTCCTCCCTCCTTCCCTTCCTCCCTCCTTCCCTTCCTCCCTCCCTCCTTCCCTTCCTCTCTCCTTCCCTTCCTCCCTCCTTCCCTTCATCCCGTAAAGTGTTTTCGTCCTCCTAGCTTGATACTCTAATCCATCTACTTTTGCCTCCTCGGAACAGGCACTTAATTAAGGACACGACCATTCTACTTTCTCATAGTTGCGAGAGAGGTTGGGGGGGGGGGAGGGGTTGAGAGAAGTAGGCGGGAAGGTAGGCAGGCAGACAGATAAACAGATAGACAGACATATAGACAGGTAAACAGATAGACAGGCAGACAGAGGAAAAGGGACGTGTATATGTATGTGTTCATTTCATTTCATGCTGCAGTGTTTACATTATTTTGGAGCAGCAGCGGAGGGAGATGGGACGATGTAGACGATATTTCTCTCTCTCTCTCTCTCTCTCTCTCTCTCTCTCTCTCTCTCTCTCTCTCTCTCTCTCTCTCTCTCTCTCTCTCTCTCTCTCTCTCTCTCTCTCTCTCTCTCTCTCTCTCTCTCTCTCTCTCTCTCTCTGTCAGACGAGGGGGAGAGAGAGATATAACACGATCCTCGCAACAAGGAAATAAGATGACGTTCAAAGCCGAGATCCCCGGATGTTGGTAGAAGCTCGAATGGCGCAGAGCTCACCAGGGGGATTTTACGGCTGTAGTTCCGTGTTTTGATAGAGCGAAGCCGAGTAATGCCGAGCCAAGCCGAGCCAAGCCGAGCCAAGCCGGAGGAGTTCAGGCTTTCGGATCCGTTGGCCCGGCTTTGCGAATATATATAAAAAATGGAGGCGGCGTTTGTCTCCCGTCGCGTTTGAATGTGTGGAAAGTTGATGAGATAGAATGAGATAAGATAGAGTAGATTAATTAAATTAATGGATTGAATTAGGAAATGGACATAGAAGTCACGATAGCCCGTTGGATGCCAAACCGTGCTGAAAGTGCCTGCCTGCCTTCCTGCCTGCCCCTGCCTGCCTTCCCGCGTCCCTGCCTGCCTTCCCGCGCCCCTGGCTGCCTCCCCGCGCCCCTGCCTGCCTTCCCGCGCCCCTGCCTGCCTTCCCGCGTCCCTGCCTGCCTGCATGACGGGAAGAAATTGGAAGAGGGATGTGGACAGCGCGATCAGGGTGCGAAGCGGATTGTTCATATTGCATGGCCCGTGTTAACATGGGAAGAGGCAGGTATATTTGCCTTTCACACAGGGATTAAGAGACCGAGGGCGGCGCCGAGGGGAGCGGGGAGGCGGCGCGCGCTGGTTATTTGATGCCGCGAGGGGAAAGGACGTCGCGATGATGGTCAAAGGAAGGGGAAAGGGAATGGAGAGGGAGAGAGAGAGAGAGAGAGAGAGAGAGAGAGAGAGAGAGAGAGAGAGAGAGAGAGAGAGAGAGAGAGAGAGAGAGGGGGGGGGGAAGGAAATAGAGAGAGAGAGAGAGAGAGAGAGAGAGAGAGAGAGAGAGAGAGAGAGAGAGAGAGAGAGAGAGAGAGAGAGAGAGAGAGAGAGACAGAAGAGGGAGTTAAGGAGACAGTGACAGAGGGAAAAAGAAAGAAGATACCTGGACACGTACTACACATCACATCTCTGGCTTTGGATGTGTGTGTAGGGGGGGGGGTTATGTTCCCGCCACTCGTCATCAGTCCACGAGGAATATATTGAAAAGTATACACGAAGGCGTAAACACGACGCCCGCCTCATCCCTGGCTAATCCTGCCTTCTTAGCCCGCCCTAATACGCCACTGATCCTGATGAATATTCCAGTGTGTGTGTGTGAAAGAGAGAGAGAGGGAGGGAGAGAGAGGGAGAGAGAGAGAGAGAGAGAGAGAGAGAGAGAGAGAGAGAGAGAGAGAGAGAGAGAGAGAGAGGAGAGAGAGAGAGAGAGAGAGAAGGAGGGAGGGAGAGAGGAGAGAGAGGGAGAGGGAGGGAGGAGGGAGGGAGAGGGAGGGAGAGAGGGAGAGGGAGGAGGAGGAGGAGGGAGGGAGGGAGGGAGGATGTGAGGGAGGGAGGGAGAAGGGGAGAGGGAGGGAGGGAGGGGGGGAGAGAGAGGGAGGGAGGGGAAGGGGAGAGGGAGGGAGGGAGAGAGAGGGCGGGAGGGGAAGGGGAGAGAGAGAGAGAGAGAGACAGAGAGAGAGAGAGAGAGAGAGAGAGAGAGAGAGAGAGAGAGAGAGAGAGAGAGAGAGTTTTAGTCGGTTTAGCCCGTGGATCATTCTGCCTCCGGGTAGATATCCCGCTAATTATCTAATTAATATACTGTAGCAACATTGTTGATAAGCTGAAAGGATGGGGTTATGGTTGGGTGGGGGGGTGGGGAGGGGGTATGGGGAGGGGGTGGGGGTAGATACTTGGCCGTTAGAGTGTAGGGGGGTAGGGGCGGGGACCAGAAGGATGGGGGGGTGGGGGTGGGAGGTAGATGTTTGGCCAAAAGGGTGGGGGTGAAGGTGGGGGGAGGGGGAGTGGGTAGATAGTTGGCTGTTAAGGTGGGGGTGGGGGAGGGGGTAGATACTTGGCCGATAGGGTGTAGGGGGGTAGGGGAGGGGGTAGATGTTTGGCCAAAAGGGTGGGGTTGAAGGTGGGGGGAGGGGGAGGGGGTAGATAGTTGGTTGGGGAGAATAGACAGTGGGGCGTGGGAATGGGGGTGGAGAAAAGGGGAGGGGGAGGGGGTAGACGGTGGGCCATGAGAGTTGGGGGGCGGAGGGGGGGGGTAAGACGGAGGGCCGGACCGGGAGGAGAAGCAGAGCACCCAACAGCTTCCGGTGCTCTTATCTGGGAGAGAGAAAGGCGTCCTCAGGGAAGGAATTCGGGGGTTTTAAGGGATTCGCTTCCCTCTTTCTCTTTCTCTCTTTCTTTGTTTATGTTTTTATTCTATTTGTTTATTTTTCTTTCTTTCTGTCTGTCTTTTTCTCTTTCTTTTTCTTTTCTTCCTTTCTTTCTTTATTTATTTATTTTTCTCTCTCTGTCTCTCTCTCTCTCTCTCTCTCTCTCTCTCTCTCTCTCTCTCTCTCTCTCTCTCTCTCATTCTCTCTTTTGTGTGTCCTTGTTCTTGGAAACATCTCGGGGGGGGGGGGGGGGGTAGTAGAATTATGGGTTTGTTTAGAGAAAAAGTTTGGTACCTTTTTTGTTGGCATTATCAACGTAAATATAAATAAACTTATTGTAAAACAGGCGAGGAAATAATAAGCTTGTTGTGGGAAAAAGTTCGAACCATCTTGATTTGATTTGATTTTTACTTTTATTTATTTATTTATTTGTTTTTAAGGTCTTAGCGTAAACTAAAATACGAAACATTTTATAACAGGGGAGGCATCTGTATAAGAAGCATCTGTTTCTTTAAGATTGATCGTTTTTTTTTTTTTTATTCGACTATTTTTAAGGGTTTATCAATACAACCATATATACTTCCAGTGACAATAGATAACGGAAAGAGATAAGCAGATAGAAGAGAGATACAAATACATTCAACACACGTATTTGTATCTTGTGAATGTACACGCTTTCCGACGTCAGAACTACACACTTTTGTACATAAACTTGCACCGACTCAGGGTTGTTTTACGGTCAGCTTTTTTTTTTTTCTTTTTTTTTTTTTTTTACTCCTGAATTCCCTGGAGAAGTTGCTACATATTCAGGGAAATAGTATACCCAGCGAACAGGAAGGAATTTCCAGTCCGTTAAAAAAAAATGAAAGAATAAAATCCAGACTTTGTTATTGTTGGTACTTTTTTGTTTTCGTGTTTTTTTTTTTTTTTTCGTTTTTTTTTATATGTAAGAGCGATGCTCATCTCTAATCTCTTGAGGCTGTGATTTCTGGCATTCTCTTCATAACTGTGGAAAGATTGTTTCCCTGCGAGTGATTTAAACCTGGATTCACTTCAATTTTTTTCTGTCTGTTTTTATTTTTTTCTTCTTCTTCTTCTACTAAACTTGTGTTCTTTTTTGATATGTGTTTCCTTTTTTTGTAGTTATATTCTGTGGGAAAATAGTGTTCGGGACGTTCCACAATACACGACAATATTCAACTGTATATGAATGAAAGCATGAAGAATGTTGTTTACACTGTATTGGTGTGTGTGCGTGTGTGTGTGTGTATTATATTCATTGTTGGTATGTCTGACTTGTTTAGTACCCACAGAGTAGAAACATTATTTATTTTTTTAAATGTCTGTGCCATATTTTCATACCCGATTTTGTCCTCCTCCTTCCTATATATTTTTTGTCTACCATTTATTTGTTTGAACAATCCACTCCACACACACCCATAGAAGAAAAAAAAATAGTGACGTATCTTGCCACACACGTAAAGAAAAAATAAATAAAACAATCAAATGTCATAACTTGCCACACACACGCAAAAAAAAACGATCCAGTAATGCCATATCTTGCCAGCATCATCACATCACACCATCCCCCCCTCCCCCCCCCACCAGTTTTCGACAAGGAACTAACGCGTGATTCTTTCCTTTCTTTCTATCACTAGGAAGACGGCGAAGACAAGGAGGTATTTGGTGTTGTAGCGCCTCCGGGCCGGCAGTTGTTTTGTTGTGCACTCGTAGCCTTGTTTGTGGTGTTCTGAGGTAGCCTTGCGGTAGCCCTGGTATTCTTTTGTTTTTTGTTTTTTTTTTCTCCCTTTTTTCCTTTTTCTTTTATTGAGGGGTTTTCTGTTTTCTTTTCTTTTCTTTTTCTTTTCTTTTATTATTGGGATTTTTTTTTTTTTTTTGTTCTTGTTTTTCTCTTCTTCCTCCTTTCGTTTCCTTTGGAGGGTTTGGGTTCTTAGGGGTACGGTTGACATGCGCTGTCTCTTTATTTCTTTAGTTTTTTTTTGGTTTTGGGTTTCTTATTATGCTTTTATTTTGTAACATGATCGCAACTAACATGGACGTAGAGTTCGGGAATCTGTAGATGTATTTTTTTTAGTAATACTACTCTTGCCTCCCTTCCCAATAAATAAAGAAAGTATGGATACTAAATTTAGTAATTTGGACTAACGTATATTTGGAAAGGCAATCGTTACGGCAAAAAAAATGAAAAAAAGAGAATGAATGAAAAAAAAAAAAAAAGTGATGATAAATGATAAAACCAGATCACTTCGTCTAAATCTGGTCCTTTTTTTGTCCAGATGAGAAAAAAAGAGAAAAAAATACTATGATTTTCTTGGCTTTCAACTTTTGTCTAACCATCCACGCATTGGTGACGTAATCAACAACCCACTCTGTTGTTGCCACCCAGTGTATCTAAGCCATTGTAGTGATTCGTTATATATTATATCCCATTTTTCGCAGGCTTCACTGTACACACATAGTTTGACTGAGACGCGAGCCTTCCACGTAAACTTCTGTGCACTGGGTTTACATAGTGTACTAGAGTGTAGTAGCACTGTGTATTCTCCTGGTGACTAACTTTCCCTAACCCTTTCCCTCCTTGCCCCCTCCCCCCCCACCCTCACGCTACGGGTACACTGGAGTAGCAGTTGTAGAGTGAGACATTCTTCCCTTCACTCTGTGGCCTAATGATCATTCCTAGAACTAACTCATTTTTTTACCTCCAGTTATAAGGACATTGGTATTTTGTGTCTGTTTAGTGTTTTTCTCTGTCAAACTTAGTTTTTTAAAAAAAGTGAATACATGCTTTTTAAAAAAGGATGTTTTAGATAGATGTGGATATATATTTTTAAGACAGCAGTTTTCTGGATTGTGCTTATATGGAATTCCGATTTTGTATACATGCTGTATATACCGTACGCGCCCATGTGATTACACAGACACATTTGCATGCGCGCTCGCACACACGCGAACATAAACACACACACACACACTCACTCACTCACTCACTCACTCACTCACTCACTCAATCACTCAATACACACACACACTCACACACACACGCAAATACACACGCACACGCAAACACTCCAGCACGGAGTATGTGACCGGGGAAATATCCGTACCCAAGGAATGCCACACAGGAGCCGCGGCAGCCGGCAACTGTGTAGCATGAGCCTCAGTCTCCGTACTCAAAGGCCGAGCCATTTGTAGACACGCCAAAGGGGAGTTGCTACTTGATGCAGGAGGGAAGGATCCTAGACGTACGTGATTGCTTAGCTCTCCAAAGAAAAAAAGAAAGAAAGAGAAACGGAGGAAAAATAAAGTCGTATAATATATATTTTCCTCCTTTCGTCTCGCTTTTCCGGTGTTTGCGTTCGGGGAATATGTATTCGGAGTAATATTTTTTCCCTTTTTTTTCAAGTAAGGATGGCTCAAGGGGCCGGAACATCGGATTTGCTGTAGGCTTATGTTTAAGTATTCTTTTGAGAGTTGTAATACTTGACTACGAATCGAATATGCTGCGGAGATGGTATTTGAGCTCTGAATAACATCCGATGCGCAACGTGATCGGCAGTTGCAGCAGACATCAAGGCATTTGGCGCCTTTTTTTTCTTTCTTTCTTTCAAAAGTTTTAACGTTTTCCTGATACTTCCGCCTTGATGATATCACTTAATTCTTCACTCTATAGGGCGAGTGTTTTTATCAACAGCGTAGTAATATCGTTATCAAACAGCGTCAACAACGGGTATTGATCGTAGCTTACTGAGTTTGTCACCAGCCAACGAAAGGCCATAAGTCCGCAAAATCCGTTAACACTTTTTCCGTTAAGAGGATGTCGGCGTCCGATTAATGCACCGCGTGATATATATTTAGCATCAACGTTTCATCACACGCCATGTTTAACAAGCTTTCAACTACATACCTTTCCTTGTTCTATTTTTTTCGGATCATTGCTTCTGTATAACACTTTCCTCACATATATCTTCGATTTTTTTTTAGGCCTATTCCGTCTCGCCATCTACCGGTACGTAGTGATTTATAGCCCAAAACCTTCGAAAAAAAAATAATAATAATAATAAATAAATAAACAGAAATGAGATTTACCATTAGCAGTCGTTGTTGGATTCGTAGTCACAAACCGTTGGCATACTGTCA